CAAGCAGCCCACCTCCATCCAAGGAGCAGCAGTTGCACAAGCAGCCTGCCCCTGTACTAGGAGCAACCCTGTGAGCAATCTGCCCCTGTCCAAGAAGCAGCAGACTCACAAGCAGCCTCACAAGCATAGCACCCTGTCCCAGGAGTATCAGCTGCACGCAGTCAGCCCCCATCCAAGGAGCAGTAGCCACGTGAGAATCTGTCCCTGTCCAAGGAGCGGCAGCTGCAAGCAGCCTGTCCCCGTCTGATGAGCAGAAGTTATGTGAGCAGGATCCCCCCACCAGCCAGAGGAGCCACCATGGCTGTGAACTGCACCCACCAGAGGAGCTGCTGCCAACTGAGGAGTAGCTGCTGCCATGACTGCCCAAGAAGCCACTGCCACCCAAGGAGCAGCCCCTGCAAGACTCGACATCTAGATCCATCCGTAAGATAAAAATGGGTAGACAGGAGAGAGGAAGATGGCTGCCAATGGGAAGGTAGACTGCAAGAGAATGTGAGAGGGAGAGAACAAAAGGTGAGCATGTGGATGAATGGGAAGTGTATATTTGTGGGTGAGGGACAGCTATACTCCAAGGGACTGTTGGGGACTGCCGGACCAGGCTCCCCTGACCGGGCAGCCTCCACTGGTGCTGAAATCTCTCCCGGAGCAACCAGCTCTGCCGTGGAGACAGTGCCATCTTGAAGGGGAGAGTGGCTGTTATCAGAAGCCTATACAGCCTGGGTCTCTACAATCACAACACCCAGCAACCAGCTGCAAACCCAGCATGAATACATGGACATGGATGAGCTTTGCACCTTCTCCCGAAAAAGTCAGATTTTGCCTAGAAAAAGGTGAGGTCTGCGATCCAGGAAGGAGGGAGAAATGCGTGAACGGGATCTAGAGGTTTGGGAAAGTCTGTGCCCCACAAAACCTGCAGCCTTTGGGGCTAGCATGATCCACGAATGTGGAAGGGGATCCACAGGGCTGCTGGCAGAAGAGAACTCTGAAAATCAACCAATAGTGGGACTGGGCACAAAAAGGCACCCTGAAATTTTACCAGTAAACCCGCTGCTTAATGGCAGGGGATAAGAGCAAGCAGTGCCAGAAGATAAAAGTCACGAGTTTGCGCACTTACTCTGGCTCTTTTTTTTTCCTCTTTAAATCCTTGCTTTTGGTTACTAAACCCAGTACATAGGATAACCCAATTGGGGACACTCTAAGAGACTGCAGGAGAAAGTTGTTTCTGTGGAACCTGGGGATCAGAGTGGGGAAAACCAACTCTGGGACAGTTCATTCTCCCAAGCCAGTATTAAATGCGACAGGGAAAACAAAAGCTAAATACTGGCTAGAGAGGACTTATAGCCCCGGGGGCCAATCCAGAAACACTGCTGCCCAGGGGTTGAATCACAAATTGACCCTTGTGTAAACACAAAGGAGTCTAAGAAACAAAGAAATATGGCTTGCTTGAAAATCAGGACTGTGGCTTACAATACAGAGGAGCAGTGGAACACAGGGAATCTCAATACTGTCCTGACTACCTACAGGAAACAGGCGTGACAACCAGAACAGTAGAGGAAGTGAATGACTTTCACTATGTGCGTTTTTATTTTTTCATCTTTTACGTAAGAGATTATTTTTTTCTTTTTTCCTCACTTGGTTTTACCTTTTTAATTATTATTTTTATTTTTAATCAGTATTATTACTGCCACTATTTTACCTTTTTTTTGTTTTTTAAAAAAAGTATTTTATTTTCTCTTTATTTTATTTTGGAATTAGTGTTCTACATTCTATTTTCATTTTTCCTTTAGCATCATTTTACTCTATCTCAGCTTTCCTTTATGCCAACACTCTCTTCCTCACTTTTCTCATTTTGTTGCTCTGTTTCTATTACCCTATTCCTGCTTTAGATTTTACCTATTCCTTCTTTTTACCCCATTAAAAAAATCATCCTATTTATATATCTAATTTCCAATTCCCTGCTCTAAGTCCATACACACCCCTCTCTTCTCTTCCTTCACTATCCAAACTTTTTTCTTTTTTTCCTCTTCCATTTTTTTTGCTGTTGTTGTTATTCTGTTCTTGTTCTGTTTTTTTTCTTGTTATAGGTTTTAGTGTTTTATTTTGTTTTGTTTTGCTTGCTTTTTCTCTGTCCTATTGTTGTTTGCTTGATTGTTGATTAGATTGGTTTTTTGTGCTTGTTTGTGAGATTGTTTCTTCTTTTTGTTTTTGTTTCTGTTTCTGTTTATTTTATGCTTCTGTTTTCCCCCTCCTTGCTTGTTATTAGTTGTTGTTTGTAGTTTGCATTCATCTCTGGATGTTTGTTGTTTGCATTTTTGGGGATTAGTGGTTGTTCTATTGGAGTATTATCCCCATACAAATAGTTTTCCCCCCCCCCCTTTTAAAAATATCTTTCTCTAATCTCTTACTTTTTTTCCTTTTCACAATATTATTTTTGCACTCCTTTTTTTATATCCCCTAATTCTCTATTCTCTGGTGGTCACTTTTATTTGGGGTTATTAGTATCGTGAATACATTTGTGTTCAGTGCCTTGTATGTTGTGCCTTGTTGTGCTGTATTTTGTGCCTTTAAAAAATGCAGGAGAGAGAGAGTTACAAAACCAGAAACCTGGAGAAGAGAGATCATTGGGGAGACAAAGAAACAGCCCACATATGAAAGAAAAACAGGCATCACCAGAAAAGGCAGTAAATGAAATGGAGGCAAGTAATATGTCAGAGAAAGAATTCAGAGAAATGGTCATAAGGTCGCTGAAAAGAATGGAAGACAAATTCAACAATATGTCTAATAATCAAGGGGAAATGAGGAAGAAGAAGTGAAATAATAACCAAGAAGAAATGAAAAATGACATTGCTGCTATAAGGAACTCAAATAGAAAGCAAGAACAGAAGAGTAGAAGAAGCAGAGGATTGCATCAGTGAGCTATAAGACAAGGTAGGAAAAAATACCCAAGCAGAGCAGCATCTAGAAAAAAACCAAAACTGAAAAATAGGAGGAGAGCCTAAGGGAACTTTGGGACAACACTTAACGAAACAACATCCGAATAATAGGGGTGCCAGAAGGAGAGGAAACTGAGCAAGGAATAGAAAACCTGTTTGAAGAAATAATGACAGAAAAATTCCCTGATATAGGAAAGAAAAAATTCACACAAATCCAAGAAGCTTACAGAGTCCCAAACAAAATGAACCCAAAAAGACCGACGCCAAGGCACATTATAATTAAATTGGCAAACACCAACGACAAAGAAAGAATCTTAAAAGCAGCCAGAGAGAGAGAGAAAGTTACCTACAAAGGATCCCCCATCAGATTAACGCCTGATTTCTCAACAGAAACACATCAGGCAAGAAGGGAATGGAATGAAATATACAAAGGCATGCAAAGGAAGGGTCTGAAACCAAGAATACTGTACCCAGTAAGGCTATCAATCAAAATTCAGGAGCTTCACAGAAA